GGAGGGACCCATAAAGGACCAAGACGGTCCCAAGAGCGCCCAAGAACCCGAGAGGATAACTTCTCGGGCTCCAAAAAGGCGATGCTAAGCGGAACCGCCCCTTTTTCTCATCGATCCAAAGACAGTGGCGCAAAAGCATCTGAGAGGAGCCCAAGAGGAGCCCAAGAAAGCCCCGAAGGCCTCCAACATGACCCCAACAGCGCCCGAAGATGGCCCAATCAAGACGTCAAGAGGCGCCCACATCGAAAGATCTGCGAAAGCCTTTGTGGTTGAATGACGGGCATGCTGAGGCTGATCTCGAGCTGCGGTCTGACGGCTAACCACCTCTGTATTCCAGTGCTCCTACGCTTCCCTGATCAGGGCAACTCGTCTGGAGATCGTTTCTGGGCAGGCTGGTAGGAAGACGCAAGGCGCCAACCATTACAACATAGGAGCGGCCTGTACCCACGACACCCAGCCTCCCCGCTGGCTAACGTTGAGCAGGGACCGACCGTCCTGGCATTCCTATAGTCCTACCAGGAAAAGTTCTTAGAACCCAAAATGTTCGAAGAACAAAAACAATGTTCTTAGATGTGTTAAAGCAAGACAGCCACAGCCAGAAATGTTCTAAGAACATTTCGTGGAAACCACAGAAGGTTCTTAGAACATTGTTTGGTAGGGCTATAGGCGAGCCAGGACGCTTCGCCATTGCTTGATAACGGTGAACAATGCGCAAGCTGTCGCGAGGACCGGCTGACACTGAGCGCGCATGGAAAAAATGTATCTCAAGCGCGCTCCAACACGGCGCAACAAACTAAAGCTGGACGAGCGGCACGCGAGAGCCAGGTCGGCACGTCTGTCACAACCTACACCCCGCACACTGGCTTATCACCTGGACCTTCGCACGGCATGTCCAGAATTCTGTGCATTCTGCACCCAGCCTTTGTGAAGGGAAACTGGTACACACAAATAAATAGACACAAATAACCAGATTCCCAATATGTTCCCATATTTTCTGGGTTTTCGTCTTCCCCCCCACTTCCCATATTTTCCAATATTTTCTGGAGAACCGACGATTCATTGTGTCTGTATGTTTTTCCCCTCCTGACTTTGATGGCCAGACGATGACTGCAGCACTCGCCGTCAGATTCAAATGACAACGGTCGCACGATGCGTGAGCAGAGAGCGCCGATGGCATTGCAGGCAAGACTTGGGCATCCCTGCAAGCACGTCTTCCGATGCGATATGTAGCTGGCCCCGCCGAAGATTCCAACACAAGCTTGTTGGTCCACGGGCAAGCGTGCCGCAGAAGATTGTCCCTGCGCGAGTTTGGCGGCAGATCCCCCCGAAGGCTTTGCCAGTAAGAGATCCCAGCAGGTTCACATGACCCCCAAGACAACACATAGTCCGAGATCAGACTGTGGCCCAACGTTTGGCCACATGGGCGCTTCTAAAGAGGCAGGGGGCGGCGGTAATTCGCCGCAGGCGTCTTCGATTATAGCCTTTCCTCGACTGCTGGGCCGCCTCAAGGACGCTCGGAGAATAAGCTGCAGGACTTCCGCTCGGTTCTGCATGTCGTCCGCCCCGTAGCCA